ATAAAGGCCTTTGAAAGAATCTTGCAGTGTTTAATGGGAGTCCTCAACATTTTCAAACCTACACAGCATCCATTTTCATCATAGCGGTACCAAACAGAGTGACACGTCAAAATAAGGAGCTGTTTCTTCAATCTAGTACGCAGTAAAACTCAGGAGTGCCCAGGTGACTTGCGACTCCTTTTACCAGAGCGGGTCACTTTACGATGCCAACATGAATTACCAGTCAATATCTTGCCTTAAATCATGGTACAGTAGATTCCCATTATAGCGCTTCCTGATATAACGCTCTTTCCGATATACCACTCTATTTTCATTTCCCCAACCGCACGCCCATTCATTCTGTACATTTTATGCGGTTATAGCACTCCCGTTTACATCGCTTTTCTGGATATAACGCTCACGATTTTTGGCCCTGAGAACCATGTACAGCATGTGAAATAATTCCGGTTACAGTGTCCTTTGCCTTGGAAAATCAGATTCTTTGAAAAGCAACCCATATGAAACCACTTCTCAAGGCCGCCGCGATTGGCCAGCGGGCCATCCTGATCACACACAGTGCAGACACGCACTGGGCCGTCTATGCAGCGCGATCGCGAACACGTGATCATCCACGGGTGAGCTGCGGCCACGTGGCTTTGCTGTGGCAACATTGCAGTGATTATTTTCCCACTTTTTATTTAGTATTGTGGTGTAGTCCGGGACACAAATACTCAACATTGAGATACTACATGTACATATAGTATTTTGTTACCTAAAGGTTTCTTTCTACAGATAAATAAAATCAGCAACTCAAATCACACGTGTATCTTCATGTAGCAAATCTCGTTTTTTTGCCGATTATGTTCGTTGTGACATGTCGCGTCTGTTTTCACTTGGGCTGTCTGATGACTGTGGACACATGGTTATTTGGGAAAAGTCAGCGATTGGACTGTCCATGAATGGGTACACAGTAGCAGTCAGAATGTCGCGGTGGGTGTAGATGTACAGTGCCGCGATGCAGCATGCACGAGGTCCCGTGGCGGTTTTTGAAGAGATTTGGTGGTGTTTTTTTAATCGACGTCATGAAAACGTCGAAATGAACGGATACAAAGCATACCATGTACATGTACACTCCGAATGTTACGGTACATACTTCTGCCTATACATATAAACGAAATTCACATACATGACATACAAACATGTATACATGTACATGTATGTATGAACATAGCAGTACATGTGCACATGTGTGTTGCATGTCCATTCAGTCGGCTACAGCGCTGTGCGGTTATCACGCTCAATTCTGTTAAGTCCACTTGAGAGCCCTTCAACAAGAATCTACGGTATACACCTGTATTACACCTGTATGCCCTGTACAGAAACAAAGAGGCCTAATAAAAATCAATTCTTAAAGGTGTCTTTTCAGAGCCAATTGAAGGCATGACAGTAAGCAAGCCAAAAACCTTGGTAAAGCTGTATAGATTCATTCATTCACTGAAGATACCGTACGGTACATCTACAAGAGTTTCCTGGGTATCTTACCTGCCTTCAGATGCCATATACCGGTACATCCAATAAGAAGTTTGGCATTTATCAGTGGCTCTGAGTGACTCTCCAAACACATCTTAAGTCAAATGAAGATAGCCACCTGCTATTTTGCTTCAATGTTTGGAAACTTTTCAGGACATTACATGTACGGTATCTGCAGACTCTTCACTGGATATCTGATGACTATCCATCGTTTGCAGTCTTGCAAAGAAAATATGCTAACTGTCATTACATGCAGAGGTACACAGGTACATGTATCATATTCTAAAAATACACTTTCAAGTTTTGACACATACATGTACCGGGCATGCATATAAAACCTTCACTGTTCAGTGAAACAGTTTGTCAAACCCATCCTCTGGCAGACTGGCTCTCATGACTTTATTCAAAGTGCATCACTGCACGCAGCTTATCAATCCTAAGTACATGTACATGTAAATCAAAGTACATGTAACTGTCCATGTACATGTACATACAGGTACGTATGTACATGTACATTATAAAACAAGTTTGGTGACATCAACTCCTGACATTACATTAAATTTGGGACAGAGTTTACTGGTCTAATGTACACAACTGTGCATGTACCGTACATGTAATCAGGAAACTTCAAATGAAGAATGGCCATAAAATGGAAAATCAGTAGCTACATGTACAATGATGCACGGTACATCAGTAAGCGAGATAAAACACCTTTTCCACACCTGTTCTGCAGGAATAAAACATACCGGTACGGTGTACATGTGTAATGTACTCGTACGTGTACATGTACAGGTTTTTCCTCTTCACACATGAAACAAGTTGACAATAATTTTAAAAAGAAAATTGCTCCCCTACAGGTACATGTACATGTCATAAGAAACCTGTTTATCTTTACCAGTTGGGTCAGACATTGTACTTGATAGCTTCCTGGAAGTTTCTGCTAGTCTGAATATAACACAGGGAGCTTCAGGACGCCCATTCATTCAAAGGGAAGCCCACTTCCTGTTTCCGCTGTTTGAGGGGAAAGCCATCCATTCACAATGCATCGCGAATTAGGTACACGTACGTGTATGCCAGGATGGAACCTAGCACCTGATAGAAAGTATGCATACTTTTACATTACCCCATAATACACAATTGCAAGGGTCCTGACCATGCACAAGCAATCCTCCAAAAGGGCAACAATGAACAATTATTAACTGATGTGATGTGGGACAGAATGTTTTAACACCAAAAGGACTCATAGTACCTGTGGCAGAACAAGGGAGCTTCGCGTACCTGTCCCTCGGTGACAGCAGTCAATTCTTTTTTATACCTTTGTCATTATGGTTTAGAAAGTGGAGAAGGACTAGGCAGAGATATCACAACGTGGTGTGATGTCCAACAGTGAGGGTGACATGATTATTTGTCACCTGGTCCAATTCTGGGTCAATGAAGTATTCAGTATTACAGACTGGAGTACAGGAAGAATATGTGGGACTACATCTTCAACTCTTTCCATCTGGAGCCCTCACAAAGACCCTCGAAGTATGGGTTTGCACATTATTTTTTCAGATGAAAAGTGCAAATGTGCTCATCATACCAAACCCACATGCAGGGCTCACAGAATGGGAAGTCCGACGTCCCGGGACAACTAAAAGATTTTGTCCGACAACCAAATGTTCCAGGCTGCCAGCCCGATGGGCAAGTACCTGTTGTTGGAAACACATTTTTTGCATTGCATTTTAATCCCGGGCGGCATTTTAGATATTTCAGCACCGTGCACAGCAAAAAGATCGCAAAAAAAAAATTGCGAAAAAAGACCGAAATCCTAACCTTGATGATGCACGACTGCACTTGATGGGGTAGGTGCACCGTGGTATGTCCAGTCGAACTGTGCACCATGGTACATGTACATGTACGTCCCGTCAAATCGTTGGCATAAACAACGTAGCTACATCTGAATTCAGTTGTTTTCCTTTTTCCAGATCACGAAAACTACATTCAGTCATATTACAGCTAAATTATCATCAAATTCCAATAAAATGGGGTCAGAGGTCTACCTTGTACATGAACATTGTATGCAGGAGGTACTTCAAAAATATTTTCAAATTTTAAGCTTTTAACTTTGTCTTACAGGATCGACAAAAGTGACGATGACACTTTTCCTAGTTCTGGGTCGGTTTAGCCAGTTCCGGATCGCTTCAAAAATTTCTTTCTGCACGAGCCCCTACAATCTGTTGAATGTGTTGGAACACAAACAAGCACAGTTTCAGTGTATACACAGTTG